AGACCCTTCCTCACTCCAACCATGTTTTTCCTCCATCAACTGTAACACATCGAAGCTGATTCCACTGAAGGTTATAGCCTTGCAACGTTTTCTGCACTTCAATGAAAATGTCTTCTCCAGTTGTTGTTTCGTGCATGCTGCAAACGGATGCCAACTCTTCTGTGATCTGAAAGTCCAAATTAACACCATGAACGAACACGAGAAGTTGTGACGTACTCGAGAGATAGTAGACTCATCCAGCGCCAGAGAATACCACAAGCTTTTTCGCGTATCTGTAACACTATGTTCTCTCCAAGTTCTTCTGTTCTCCGCACAGCTGAACTTGCTGAAACGCTGATACTTCCAAACAAATCGGCTTTCCCAGGACATAAGTCATTTGCTGCCTTCTCTAGGCATATTTTACATATACTCCTTTATAGCCATATATATAGTTTAAGAATTGGTGAAACAAAATTGTTAAGTTTCTTTTGTTCTCGTTAACAATTGTTCAATTTATGGCCTAACATGCAATTTCTCGTGGAAAAGATTGCTTTAAAATAAGATACACTATATATAAAGGTATAAAGTGATCTGTACCACTGGCAATGCAAGTGATACCTTGAGCGTTACTTCCCTTATTCTCTACTGGAATGGTCATCAGTCATGTGGATAGAGTAAAAACTGCGAGGAATGATATAGAATAACGTATATAATGTTTTGCTCTCTTAGTCTGGAACATATAAATCTCAGTAGGTGTATATAAAAATCTAGATAAGTCTATGGTTAGACATTTTCAGGTATTAACTTAAAGTGCAGTCCTTTGTCCAGGGCTCTCACGCTTTTAATATTTTGGTGAATAAATAGTTATTTTCACTTTGTTTACATTATTTCCAGTCTCTTTCTTTCTCCAAATTCAGTCAAAGTCAGAATTTGGATATACTCCATAATACTTCATGGTCTGGTCTAATTATTTGTGGATATTGCTTCAAAAGTAAATCAATATACTTGAGAGTACCACATATGTATCTGGTACAATTAGTTGATAATGACTTAAAGGTAAATCGATAAACTGGAAAGTACCACATATGTATCTGGTACAATTAAACATGTGTCTGACGATTTATGTGATGATGCTCTACTAAATATTAATGGTCACACAGGTTTCTCTAAATTCTTTAGTTTTCACTTGTTATGTATGTAAATTACAATGTGTGAAATGTTACTTTAGGCATATTTATTAACCAGAATAATCTTAAAATTAACTTCAAAATTAGTGTTATAGACAAATTTAAATGAGATGTACTCTATTTAGAACTAATACGTCCCTAACTTTAATTCTCAATGCCCAGCTAGACTGTTTTACTCAGGAAACAAAAATTTATTTTTATAAATAAAAATACAAGCTCCAAGAGGTGCATTGAAGGTACATAGGGTTGAGCTGAGCACGTTATATTAAAGCCTTTTTGAATATGCAAATCAGCATGTCGTGACATCCACAACCAATATAAAGTCGTGTTGGAATGGCATGTACCAGAACTACATTATGACATTGTTTGAAATTTGATAGGCAGTGAGATGTCGCCAAAAATTGCTCACTTTTAGGAAGGGTATGTAACAGTCCTTCCTAACGCACTAAGATGATCGTAAAGATGTATTCATATCAAAGATCTATAATTTCCAAGATATGGATAACCCTTATACTTAATAACATTTAAAACAAAGGAATATGAACCAACTGCAACATGAAAGACCTGCAAAATGCAATATGTTGTAACGGGTGAGAATCCATAAACACAAATTTATAAAGATACGCAGGTCAATGGATACAGCACATATGAATTTCTGTAGAACCATACTGTTGGAATGGGCACCGTCATCTTCGTACACTAGATGGCTTATGAAAAGCAAGTAGAAAGAAGAGATTTGTTTTAGACATGACAGCCTTATGGTAGAGCTTTCTGTAATGGAAATTACGCTAAAGGGCTATTGCCAAAATGCACGTCCGTCAGATAACATATGATTGGGTGTGGTGACGTAGATTGTAACAACATGGTGAGACACCAAAATCGTTTTAATATAATGTACTAGACCTTTGTAGTATACCAGAGAGAGAAATTGATCACATGTACCTCAATCAATATAATTTCCTGAATTTATTTGTGTTCTGTCTTACTGCTTTTAAATTTTGACCTTTATTAATTCTGTTTAGATCTTATATATTAGCTGTAACCACACGTAACTTGGTGAAAAGTTGCGAGTCAATAAAAATAACTTCTGCTTTGCATTTATCTGTCAATAAATAAAAATTATCTATGTTATCATAATTAAGCTCTTTCTAAAGTTACATTAATTTATAATATATTTCTACTTTATTAAAATGTTATTGGTTACTTTGTGACATCACATTTCTAAGATACATCAATATGTCATACAATGACCACAGTCCAAACATACTAAAAAAATATAAACGTATACCTCAGTGCAAACAAAACGACAAACATTTTTAGATACATGGAAAAGATAAATTAATAATAATGTTATGTTAGTGTGTATGTATGGTAACGTACAGTGATATATATATAAACGTTTAAATCACGTGGACTTACTCGAAGGTTTCCACGCGGACAAAACTCTGTGAATAATACTATATGAGGCTCTTCTGGACACATGCCAATGAAACGTACTAGATTTTCATGCGATGAGTTACGCATCTAATAATAGAATATAAATAATGATTATTTTACACATTCATATTTGAAATATTTTTAATTGGGAAATCAAGAAAGATAGCTGTAATATTTCCATCAAACCACACTCGTTTTAAAATGTTTTATAGCTCTCACATTGCAGAAAATAATACAATTTATTCTGAACAAACCGGTCTAACCTTTAACCTTGATTAACATCATCTCCGTTCTTTTATCTGCATAATGTCAGATTCCGTCGATTACTAAAGATATCTGCCTCCAGTGGGGGTACTCATCTTGTAGTAGAATACTATACAACCTCGAACATGATAACAAAAGATTATAAAAACTCTATATTGGTATGGTCGAAGAGCTCTTCTCTGACTCATTGGGTATTGAAATGGAATGAGTCTAAGGGCTCTCTCTCCATAACTAATCTTTTATTATTTATGACGTCAGAAAAACACGTATGTTCAAGAAGTCTTGAAACAAGATTACAAAAACCCTATAACCCGAGCGTTTTCGAAAGGTGGACATTTCTTCTTCATAGACAAACTGGGAATGGTGGTGTAATCGAATGAGTGATATATAAAGAGAGTTGAGTGACGCCATGAAGGTGATCCGGTTATCCAGGAAATGTTTACTATATTTTTCCATGTACTGTTGTAAGCGTCCCGTTTCCGGTACAATGTAGCGTTATGTAAAAAAGGTGTTTGGGATATTTTGATGGAGGATTGGCTAAATATTATATATATATATATATGTATGTGTATATATATATATATATATATATATATATAC